CCTGCTCACCTGCTGTCCACCTTTTCCCAAGCCATCCACACTGCCAACAGTGACACTGGGACAAGATGCCCTCCAGCCCACCAGAGACTTCCAGACACCAGGATGGCATTCAGCTCAGTGAGCCCCTGCCCTGAGCACAGAGGAGGAACTAGGACTCCAGCACTCTGCAGAGCCTCTCCTAAAGCCCTAGGGGGAAGCTCCCCATAATATTTCTCATAGTGGAAGCAAGGCCAGAGGAGAAGGCAGAGCTGTGTTTTGGTGCAGAGCCTTCTGTATGCCTTCCCAGTGTCAGAGCAGGCTGCCTGGGATGAGGGATTGCTATCCTATGTTCCCTTATAGTGAGGGATGCTACAGGACAGACAGTCGCACATACTAAATGGCTTTGCAAGTTGCTTCCTATAGGGAAACAACACGAAAATCAGATGAAAAGGTTGAGACTTCTAAAATTTAAACTATCTTAATTAGAAGCAAAGTGATTTTTCCTGAAAATCCCAACAGAGCGACGTGGGCTCACTGTGGCAGACCTGAGATGCACTTTTAGCCCTGCAAAAGGGCACAGGGCACATGCGGGTGTGCAGGACTGCACCAGCAAAATGCATCAAAGCTCTTGTGTTTTCTGAATTAAAAAATCCTGGGCTGTGTCACTCTGCCTGGAGCCAGTTACCCAGAATCCATGCTGCTGCGGGAAACAAGGACACGGATTCCAGCTCTTCCTCTTACAGGGATGCAGAGGCATGCAGCGCCTTCCTTTTCCCACTGCAAACAGCTGTGCACCACGAGCCCAGCACTGACAAGGAAAAGTACAAAACACATTCTTCCCTAAAATAGCGGTGAGAAAGTAGACCTCAGCTCCAAGTTACCAGCTTTGCTTTCTCCTCTCTTCTGCTACAATTCAAGACGCCAGCAAGGGGCTGAAGGAGAAAGCAATGCTGGTGGCCAAAGGACGCTCTGTTTATCACTGCCACCATCTATGTTTTCCAAAGGAAAGACAAAAAAAACAAGATCGCAGCCACAGATTTGCACCAAATGTCACTGTCAGTGTTCAATCAGAGCACTCTGACTCCAGGCTGGCTTCCAGGGAAGATTCGTGTGTGTAACCCAGAGCCACACCGGTCCCACCAACTGTTGGTCCCAGTTGCTTTGCATAGCCAAAAAATGTCCTCAAAAGTCCTCAAATCTGCTTTTTAATCCTGAAGAGCAAGGATGAAAAATGCCCCCCAGGTATACTGACGTGATTGAGGACCACAAACTGCTGGATAGAGATTGTCACCATTCACTCGTAGCAGCCACTTTCCTTGGAGTGCAGCATTAGCAGAAAACAACTTTGTCCCCGCTATGAATTTGCATTAGAAATCCATAATAAAAATAAAGCCTAATATTATACAAATGGATACGGTGCTCTATAGTGCTCCCAGTACAGATTAAGGTTAGGCAGATTTCGAATGACAGTTATTTACCTCTGCCTAGCACCATGTATGCACAAATGGAATTTATTTTATAGCTGCAGATATTAAGCAGAGGAGGAGATGAGAGGAAATCTTAGAGTCTCACGTAAAATATAATTATGTCTGTTTTCTGCTCCTTGGAAGGCAAACAAAGAGGAGAGAATGGAACTGCTGCTAGCATTTAATGGGACTTGTCTAAATGATACCACACAGATAACAACTGCTGACAATTCCAAAGCACCTTCACGCTTGAGTTTTCTATGGGAACTCCAGAAAGATCTTGGTGGCCTTGGTGAGCCCAGGGCACCTGCATGAGGGGAATGTCTCCTTCCTTCAAAACCTATAGGCTATCAGAGAAAGAGAAAAGCAATGACTAAATCCCGTGCTTGCTTCCTGCTGTGCATGCCCACTCCTCCAGCGTCTCCCAGTCCCTCGTGCAACCATCGCAGCCCAACCAGGAAACTGCCGCTGCCTCCTGAATTTTGCAAGTTAGCAAGTGAAATAATAAAATAACGCTTTAACTGTCGGAGATCCTGGCTCAGAAAGTGCACTTTGGTCATTTCCTTTAATAACTGTAGTTTAGCAGTAATGATTTATAACAGTTCATAATATTCTACTAACTGTACTGTATTAATAATGCTCATACTTTGCCCTTCGCAGCTCCTTCTGTCAAAACCTATGGAGCAGCTGATGCCATCCCCGTGCTGCAGTGAGTCAGGATTTGGAGTTGGGATTGGGGTCAGGATTTGAGGTCCCAGCAAGGCATGCCACCATAGAGCTCCCCTCCTGGAGCTGCATGAGAGCCAACAGTAGTAGCTGAGACCGGAGGAGCAGGTTCTGATGGGATGGAAGCTGTGGCTGAGGGGTTGCAAATCTTTGACACACCAGCAGGTCATGGCAAATGCAAGATGAAGAGCAAGTGGGAGAAAGCAACGGGAAGGCTACAGGCTTCTGCCCATCACCTCGTGGGAAGGTGACGTGGTGGTGGCTTCATGCAGAAGGCCATGGGGATGGGTTTTATTAGGAGCAAAAAGGGTCTTTTTATTGTGTTTTGTTTGTGCTTTTTTTTTTTCTTCTGATTCTAAAATGGAGCTATAGATCTCTTTTGCAGAAAGAAACACACCATTAATTTCCACTCCTTCTAGGAATCTCGGCTGTCGTGGGTTTATTAAAGGAAACCCATAAAATACGTCTCTCGGTGTCTTTAACACATGCTTTACAAGAAGCCCCCAAACTCCAACAAACGGCATCACGTTTCTCAGAAGCACCCAGCAGAAGGGCCCCATCCAGCACACAGTGAGACCGCTGCTCCCTGGGAAGTCTCTGCTTTTGTGCATCATTTGGGTGTCCTCAGTGCCTGCATTTCACAGCACTGTGTTTGAGCAGACCAACCTCAGGCTGGTTTGCTGAATGATGAGGAACACCACCTCACCTCCGTGCATTCATAGCATCCCATGGACACGAGCTCTGGTCCAGTGCTGCTGCATGAGTTCTCACTTCAATACAAGTATATCACACAGGGTCAGGTGTCAGTGGTTGTGACAAATCCCAAATCATTTCACTGAATTCAGCATATGGGTGAAAACAGGATGAGGCTCTGCTCCCTCAAAGCACGGGACTAAAGAGACCCACTTCATCATTCCAAGATGGAAATGCCTAGCTTTGGATTCTCGTTGTGTTTCAAAGTATCTCAAGCATGAAGTTATTTTTCAGGAATATTAAAACATTGCAACAAACACATTTTTTTAAAAATCGCTGTTTAGGCTATGAAGAAAAATAAACATTTTAATGAGCTATCCAAAAAAGGTTCCTATGCAGTGCTACAGAAGACTCTGCAGTGCAACTATAGCAGCTCACCACCCATATAACACAAATGCTTTCAGGAATCTGAAAAATACAACCGAAAATTTGAGCTTGCAAACCTGAACAGCACCCACTGGACGTGGCAAGGTGATGCTGGTTGAAGACAATGTTCAACAGTTGCCATCTCTGGTAGGAGCCCTGTTGCATCTTGCACAGAAGCTGCAGTCGCCTTCCTGCTCTGACACACGGCCGCATCACACAGGCACACCCAGATCCTCACGGCCCAACAAGCGGAGTCTACAATCCCTGGGTATACACTTAGAGAGCAAGGCCAACCACACGCACGTGTAAATGGCACTACAGCAAGCACTCCCATCCCGCGTATTGGGCGACAGATAAACCTGCGGTGCTAATGGAGCTGAGTTTCCATGGTGCAGCATCTATATGTGATGGAAATACGATACAGAGCCAACAGACATGTTTAGTGTAAACTGCCCCAGTAGTTACGCAAGAATTTTAATGCCGGTGGAAGGTTGGGGATGTCGCCTTTGCTCTGCTCTGCCGTGCAGCAGACATAAAACGTCCCCGTTGAGATCCCACCTGCCTTCCCCATGCAGAATAATGCACGGAACACAGAGCTTCTGCCTTCAGCAGGAATCACCCTGCGAACGCGAATATAAAAGACACACTGGCGGCATATTTCAAAAGCAAAGAGCGATGGATTTACAAGGCAGGTTGATTTTATGATGACTTTTATTGAAAAGGTACGCGGGGTTTAGGCAGATGCCTTTTAGCGGCGGTAAGTTAGCGCGGTGCCTAATGCAAGGAGACAGGCTGGGGAAGCTGCGCCGACAGGGGAGGCAGAGCCACAACGTCTCTATTACCTCCTCAGCATCATAAAGGGGAGAGGAAAAATCGTGCCTGAAAGGGAGAGGGGGAAGCAGGGCAGCAGAGTTTCATCCCAAAAAATATAGTAATCATAACAACAACAGAAAAAAGAATTGTTTTCTAGGAAGAAAATTCAGCAGAACAAAGGAGCGTACGCATAGCAGCAAACTCACTGCTTCTTAGAGGCAAACTGACCATAACTCAGTGCTTCTTTTGGGGTACCTGCCTTGCTCAAAGCCCTGGAGCCCATCCCTGGAACATTGCCCCTGTGCTAGAAGGGAATGATGAGGGGTGACTGGGGAGCTACAGCCATAGAGCTTCACCTTCCAAGCCACCAATGTGGGAAACACACACAACCTATTTGGGATGCAGTTTTTTGACCTGAAAGAACAGACTTGGGTTTATGCTTTGAAGAGGGACCTTGGTGACCACGAATATGCTCAGCTTCCCCACCTGAGGCACAAACCCTGGGGGTGATGCATTTGCTACAAGAACAGTATGTGTAAAGAAAAGATCGGGATAAAAACCCCAAATCTTGAGGTGCATATCCTACAAGCTCTGGGGAAGTCTCCAGGTGAAGCCTTGCTCACACCTACTGATGTATAACACCCATATCACTCCTCTGGGGCTCAGACACTTTTTTGCACATAACAACAGGTCAGCATTGCCTGAAAGGCAGGTTTCCTTCCAGAGCACCTCCCCTTGCAACCTGTCACTGTCCGTTTATAAGAAACGTGGCAATGCTGCGGGGCGGCAGGGAGCAAAGGCTGCTCATCCCCTCCTTCAGCACAAGGACAGCCACCTGCTGGGTATCTCAACCGCGCACAACGAGAGGAACGCCAACAAGCCAACAGAGGTACTTACATCTGTCACTTCGGTCTTCAGGACTGGACGAGGTCTCCCGGTCCGAAATGAGGCCCGACACCGCAAAGATCTTCTTCCCCGTCTCGTCAACTTTGAGCGAGCCAGGGGAGCTGGAGGGGAGCTGGGTGCCAAACTCGTACTCCTTCCCGTCGGCATCCGAGAAGCGCAGGTGGGGCGAGTCGGTGTCATGGCAGTTCTTCAGGCGCTTGGCCGGCGTGAAGGCCGACTGGTAGCTCTCCCGGTCCTCACTGGAGGCGAAGGGGCGGAAGGCCCCGACCCCGCTGTGATTCAGCATGCTGATCGGGGTACAGTCCAGGTTGGGGGGCGCAAACTGGGGGTGGAGGTGAAGCAAAGAGGGAGGAAAGTCACGGTTGGCGAAGGCGCCCGGCACACCGCCTTGCCGGTGGTACATGGAGGCGAAGGTGTAGGAGCCATTGGTAAAGGGGATGTGCACGTCCTTGTCTGCTGAGACCGGGACCCCGAAAGGCCTTGGCTGTTGGCACGGGATGGAGGCGTCACGGCTGGCTTCGGCGGTGGAGGCGAGGACCATCAGCGCCGGGGAGGCCAGCGGGTTGGGGAGGTAGGGTGAGTTCTCCATCTTGAAGGCGGCCCGGTGTAAGTCCATCGGAGTGTCTTTCCTCAGCGGGATCGTGTGCGGAACGACCTTCCCTGGAGGGAAAGCAAAGCGAGGGCTGGAAAACCTACTGGAGCGTCATCACCCTCCGGACGCTGCAAGGAGACAGAAGAGAGAAGATTACGTGTTAGGTGTGGGTCCCACCACTCCGCTCGCTCAAGGAAATCAACAGAGAACTTCACACGCTGCTGGGAGCAGCTCTGGCCTTCCAGGTTAAGGGTGCCATCCAGCGCAGGCAGATGAAAGGCAAAGCAGGGAGAGCAGCACGCAGATTTAATCACCCGCTAATAAACAAGCTTCGGTTTGAAATTAGGATGGTAACTCCAAATGATAATTGGAATTTGATACGGGAAAAGTGGCATGTACATCTAATTGCATCCACTCAAGAATGCCCACACGTACACACAGCCCTCATTTGCTTGTGTGTGTGTGTATCTATATGGCAGTATTTATTGTGCACCATTACCCGTATCACCAGAAGCCGTGTTAATGCCGTACCCACTGCCATACCCAGCAGCTGTGTGTCTTCCCCCACTCTGATAGCATACACTGCAGGTCACACTCGCACCCGTAGGATCCTACAATGCGATACAGGCCATGGGGTGTATGAATGAGTCTGTATGGGTGCATGTGCGTGATCCATCATCACAAACATGCACAGGCACTCTCCCTGTTAGCAAAAGAAGAGACTTCGCCAATAAAATGCCTGGCGTCTCTGACAATGTTTAAAATCATAATGGGTGCTTCTGCCATCTGATCTCCGCAAACGTCTGCCTTTCGGGTCAGGGACGAGAGAGAATGGATCAGTAATTTTAGTTCCTAATGCACTCACTCTTAAGTAGATTTGTAAACTGCCCTGGATGTGCCATTAACATTTAGAGGAAAATGTTAACCAAATTTCTGACTTGCATCTCGTCGAGCCTCCCAGGAAGAGCTGCTCCTCTCTGCGTCCCCCTGAGTTCACTCGGGCTTTTTGCTTTGTTATTTTCTCCCCCAATCAATCTAGTGTCTTTCTTTCAAGTTTCCGCTGCCTGCCATTCAGGCCCCACAGCCCGGCTCGAAACACAAGGACCATAACTCCGAAACAATATCCCGGCCGCCGGAGCTCAAAGGGCCAGAAAAATCATATAATAATAAAAAGCTGTTACAAATTGTGCCTCTTAAATCCAGCGGGTCAAACATCTCAAATAAAACTTACTGAAAGAGTGTCTCCCTAATGGAGTGCCTTTTGTGCTGTGTGAATGAGGGAGCCTGGGTTAACACAGCGCACGGAGCCAGCCGTGCCTTCAGCACAGCACGGCAATGCTGCTCCTTCTCCCTCATCCTGCGCCCAGCGATGGGTATCGATGGCAAAAACAAGTGGGCATCGTCTCTCCTTGGCACCCCTTCGGACTTCAGTGCTGAATGACTGCATTATGGATCTCGCACAAGTGAAGCTGCTCTCTTCCAGATTTTAAATAAGTTTCCCACCCAGGCATTGCCACAGAGAGCATAGGGAGAGTGGTGCCAGTGCACCCAGCTCAGTGCTGAGCCCTCTGCTCTGCCGCTTCATGCAGCGCTCCTGGAAGCTCGTGGCCAGGAAACCACCTCCACTGGGAAATTTGGCATAGCTGGAGGCTCGCAGGGCCCTGTAGGTGCACACGTGTATGCACAGAGCTGTATCTAAAGGGACGCTTGCAAAGGAACCACCACCCTCAGAAATAAACAGTGGAAGTGAAACCGAGCGATCACGGAAAATATGGATTTCCAGGAAAAAAAAAAAGAAAAGAAAGTCAGAAAGAGAGAAACGACAACAAAGCGAAGCAGCCACCTCTGCCTCCTTTTCTATTTTTACTTGTGCCACCACCCCGCTACGTTAAACGTATTTCATAAATTAGTAATCTGGCTGCAACACTTGACACTCCTGTAGGATACTGTGAATCACCGTGGCCGCTTATTCGTTTGCAAACTTCATTACGCCAGGAATAAATCAACACGTTACCGTATCTCACCGGCCAAATTTCTTTTTCTTTCTTGTTTTTTTTTTTTTCAGCCCCCACTTCCTTTTTCGTTTTCTCTCCCCAGTGCCTCCCTCCAACCCCTACCCCCCCCTTTCCCAGCAACGTGTGCAGATCAGACCGCGGCGGAGCGGTCATTATGAAAATCTCTCGTTAATACACTCCCGATGTCAAAATGTCATCGGTTTAAATACGGAACCCAAAAGAAGAAAACTAACCGACCTCCTTAATTAAGAAAATCTGGATGGCGGGATGATGGGCCGGCTGCAGCGCGGGGTGGCGGGCAGGCAGCGGGCACAGGGAGGGACTGCTGCTTTTCTGCCTCTATGCTGATTTTTTTTAATTTAGCACCTCGCGCAAATCCAGATTAAAATAACTCCGGCTATTGATCCGAGCAGTGGAATTGACATTAATTTTAGTTCACTTCTCACTTTGCAAAGGGATCAATAGGAAGTAATAACAGCTGACATCCCCGCTGAAAGGAGGAGAAAAGACGGGCTGCAGACAGAAATCGAAAAGCAACCAAATAAATCAGCAGCTACTTTTCCACGGCATCAGACAAACTCCAAACAGATTGCGAAAAGTCTTTGTTGAATTAACTAAACAAGGAGCGGCGGGAGGGGGTGGAGATCAATCTATGGAGCCGCATGAACTGCCCACCAAGTATCAAGGTTATGAAAACACACACATATATATAAATATATAAAATTTTAATGGTTACCTATCTGCATAGTTATGGGTTTTTAAAGCCGCCCTGGCTAAGGTGTACACAAATTACCTGTGTAATTGTGTGTGTTGCTAGTAACACTCCACCACCAAGACAAATTGAACGGCTCTGAACCATAAAAATAAAATCTCCCAGCAAGGAACGAGTTGTAATCAGTTCTCTCCGCCTCGGTTTTGGTTCCTCTGTGCGTGGAGATTGTAACACTGCTCTGAATTAGTTAAGTCTGATAAAAGTAGGAGAAGGCTCAGAGCCGGAATTCGCAGGCATCACCCCAGCGAGTGAGGAAATGAGGAGGGAGAGCTGCTTGCAAGCATAACCCCCTCGGTGAGCACAAATGCAGGCACATGCACGCCGCATACACAGCCACCACCTCTGCAAAGCTTACTCTAAAATGCCACTCGGAGTTCCTCTTCCTAAATCACTGCTCTGCTATCGATTAAAATACACACAACGCACCGCCCTGGGTTCCTACAACAGGTTGCATTTTTGTGGTCTCTCAACCATTTCCAAATGTCAGAGATACAAATAATGGGGCGAATTAACATTTTTCTACCTCCAGAAACAAAGTTTTCATAGGGGGAAAAAAATTAATTAACAAGTTACAGGGGGAAAGGGGGTGGGTGGGTGGGAAGAAAGATAAAAACAAAAGGAAACACGGGAAAATTGATGATGCATTTAAATGAGGAGAGACCCAGAAAAAAATCGCAATATCCATTTACATTAAAAAGTTTTTTCCCCATAAATGTCAAGTAGGAATTTAGAAATATGCTCTGAGCAGAAAAGCCAAAGATTATAAAACAAAATAATGCCAGCTGTTTGGGGATTTAAGTGCTCAAATGGATTATATATTTGAACCGAACTGGATTTCCTTATAATAAATAAAACAAATGCGAGCTCGAAAGGCAACAAAGGAGAGCTCTCATCACTGGATTAAGATACAAAAGAAAAACAGTTAATTTTTTCCAACGCGTGAGATATGTCCACTGCTGTGAATATCGGTTTGGGGGGAGGAGGAGGGGAAGAAAAATAAAATAAAATAAAATTAAAAAAAAATAGAAAGAGCGGAGCGGAGCGGCCGGGCGGAGCGGAGCGGGCAGCGCTGGTCCCGGCCCCGGGAGGCACCGGCTGGGAGGGCAGCGCGGCCTCTGCCCCTCCGTGGGGTTTGTTTGGCTGCAAAGTTCTTCGAGGAAAAAAAAAAAAAAGGAAAAAAGGAAAAAAAAAGAAAGAAAGAGGAAAGAAAAGAAAGGAGGAAAGAAAGAAAAAAAAAAAAAAAAACCAAAAAAAAAGAAAAAAAAAAAAAAAAAAAAGAAGCCCCCGGGCGGAGAGGGGATAGCCTGCGGCGGACTGCGGGGAGGAAGCGCCTGGGGTTTTGTAAAAGAATAAAAGGAGGGAAAAGGGGGGGGAAAAAGCAACCAACCACCTACCTACGGCTGTGCGCGGCGCGGCCCCCCCGTCCCGCAGCCGGAACGGCACCGGCGCCCGCGGGGGGAGCGCGGAGCCCGGAGCGGCCCCACTCCGCCGCCGGCCCCACTCCTCCCGCTCCAGTATTCGCTGCCCCTCGGAGAGGTTTTCAATACAAGGAAATAAAATAAAATCAAAAGGGGCGATGCCCACGTTGCAGCCTAGAGATTGCCCCGCGGGTCCGATGTGGGCGGCGGTAAATTAAACAGGTGTTTGGTGGCACGGCACGGTGTGGCTCGGCACGGTTCGGCACGGCTCGGTACGGCACAGCCCTGCACGGACGGCACTGCCCGACCCGACCCGGTACGGCACGGCTCCGCTCGTCACGGCCCGACCCGGCACGGCTCAGCCCGGCACAGCCCCGCACGGACGGCACGGCCCGGCTCGGCGCGGCACGGCACAGCCCGACTCGGCACGGCTTGGTCGTGCTGCCCTCGCCCACCCTCCCCCCGCCCCCCGCCCTGCCTTACCCGTTCCGTGCTCCTTTTTCTACCACTTTTTCCCCTCCTCAAAGCCCCGGGTCACACAGATCATCAAACGCGGGGATGACCGCGGAGTTGTTTGAATTTATTGCAACAATCACTTACCATCCACGTTTCCTGTGTGGAAGGATAAGCATTCAACACAACTCCTTAAGTAGACAGTTCCTAATGATTTCATTGTGGTCAAACAGATGGTTTTTATGTATTTAGATCTGAAGGTGAGGAATTATTTTCCGTGCTTCCACCCCTATTTACAGCTTCCCTGCTCTAGAGCCGGCGAAAAGAAATAAAACCCTGCGAGCTCTCGACGATCCGGAAAGTTTTCTAAGCGAAAACACGCACACATCCCTTCACCTTTGCGGCTCTCCACGCTCCGCGATTGACACGTGGAGTAATTTTAGCGCATTCGTTGGAGAACGGCGACAATT